GTTAGAAAGACAAGAATTGTTTCCGGATGCGGGCTCTCTGCAACTGTATGCTACAAGGTATGTTGAGTGCGAACGCAAAGCCCAAACGCACCGTATACAATTCTTGTCTTTCTAACTGCGGTCTGCCTCCAGTAAGCGGCACATCAGGTCTCGCTATCAGTGCCACGCCTCTGAGCGGCACATTGATGTCATTGGCCAGTATGCTCATGCGCTCCGCGATCATTGAGAGACTTTCGAGAGCGCTGTCGTTACCTTGCCTGACTAGCGCGTTAACCTTCGCATTGATCAAGGCATAGCTCTGGAATCGTTCCATCGTATTTGAAATTTCTGATGCCTACCTAACTTACCCTGGCTATCTCATCACGTATTGCGTGGAGGCTCCCACGCACGTCACGGAGAGGCCTGAGCTCTCTTTCAGTGTGTCGGAGCTCAAGTTCTCGTGGTTCACTTTCCAGTGAAAGGTAGACAGGTGGCTCCATAACAGGCTCGCTTCCTGAAAACAAAGACTTTAAGAGACGATTACGAGAGTGGGTCACGTTTTGGTTAACAATTTTGCACCGTAGAGTTTCACCGCATGGCTGTGTGCACATGCTACTCCAGCGAGGGCTCCAGCTCTGCATGAACAGGAGGCTGTATATGGGCATACATGGCATCGAGCGCAGTGAGTGTTGGCCTCAATACAATGCCGGTTACTCATATATTACTAGTTAAAAGTCTAGGGTTGCCAACCTGAACAGGACAAGTGCACGGCTCATCAAATTCGACGCGGTACACCGTATCCGTTGTTGTAGCATCTACATTCCATGTCATGTCCCCGATCTTGTGAATGCTGTCCATGTTCCCCTTGTACAGCTGAACCGCGAGCCTGTGCTGCACGTTGTTTTCTCTCACACGGAACGACGAGCTGAGCTGTCTACGGTCCTGTAAGTAATAGAATTAATGTCGTCTGTGAACGGGAGTGAAGTACTCACCGTTATCTCGAACTCTACCGCCAATTCTTCTACGGCCTTAATCAAGACATCCGCTACGTAGTCTACTCTTGCATTTGCCTTCCTTTTGAGCTTCTCTTGTTTAATTCGAAGGTGCCATCTCTCTCCAAACATGGATGTGCTCATTACAACACCCCTTCGTTCAAACGCAGCCCATTGCTTGATTTTTTCGGGTCCTTAATAGAAAACGGTATTGACATGTCCTTCCAACAGCACTGCTCCTACCAAGATATTCGCGTTGAAGGTACTGAATCAGACGCGAACAGCCTTTGACTCGGAGGTGCGTCAAAATCTCAGTGAGCTTTGCGTAAAAACTTGCTTCATCGCCAATACGAAGCAGATTTCTGAAGGCTCCGATAATGCCTTTCTGTAGGTCTTTCTAAAATTACGATTGTCAACACATCTCAGATGATTCACAATGTCATGTTTCACCTTGACACACTCCTTTGTTTTGCGTTTCCAGGATTGCAGGATATGAAACCTGCACAAGAAATGGTCCACATCTTGTTTGGGAAAGAGAGCATGAAGCCATTGTAGAAAGCTAGGGCTTCGTCTGTCACCAGTGACTTTGGGGCAAAGTACCCCGTTTGACTTCATCGAAAAGTATCGCCACTTCTCTTGAAGTCATCTCGCCCGACAGTAAGAAAGCTAAATAAAAAGTACTTCGATTATTTAAGGTGTTGAAGCGCTGAGTACCTGCGGGTAGGCCCCGGTCACGCTCGTCAACAACCATCACAGTTGCCAACTTCAAGGCATATCTGGTGACGTTGTGAGTGTCGTCGACCGAGATGCCCCTATGGCCATACTGTTCCAGCCACTTCTGCTGGAGAGGCGTGATGATGACTATAAAAAGGGTTTTCAGAAATATGCATTGTTAGTGATGAACGGAACTTACCCAGTACAAAACCTTTTCCAGTTGGATCGTCCGGCATTTTGAAGAAACGTATCCCGTCATCGGGATTACTTTCTTCCTCCCTCATTCTCAGAGATGTGAGATCATCTCTATCGCGCTGTCCGGGGTTTAGGTTGTACTTAGCCATAATATTCCAGAGATCTCTTTTTGTTATGAAGTACAACTTAGAGTCTTTGGATTCGTGATCCTTCCTCATTTTGTGTACTATGTAATCTGTTGAAAACTCTGAAAGGTGAGAAAATTCGCAGTTATTAAGTCCTTGTGTGGTGTTATAATCTACCTTGTAGCATGAGCTTCAGATACTCTATTTGATCGTCAGTCCACCGAAGTAGGGCCGGATCGAGGTCGTGCCCAATGTGACCAAAGCATGCTACCACGGAAACAGTATCGTCTTCATTGAAATGCACGTTCGCAAAAGCAGAGCAATAAGGATGGAACTTTCTTGGTTATACGAATACGCTGTTCACCCTGAGATCTGCCTTCACCACAACGGTTGCACCTGTATAATAGCTAACTTATAGGCTTATGTGTGTACATTAGGTTCGTGGAATCTACCTAGAATGTATGAATTATCAGACCTCATAAACAGTTTCTTCTGGTTAGCTCCACTTGACCTGCAGAAAAATGAACTGCAGTGCACCTCACACATTCTTCCAAACCATTCCTTAATAAACGACTTTTTGTGAGTATCTATCGTAAATATGGTTGCCGACCTTGTATTCTTCCGAACTTGAAAAGGACATCCTATGCACTGTATAATCTTGAGGTCTTTCAGAGTCTTCGGTGTGTTCCCTACCACAGTGCTGACTGAGTTCTTCTTGCGTTTTGAAAGCGCCTTCACAAAGGCAACACTTCAAAGTTGGAGTGTGACTTTCCTGTTCTGCAGTCCTAGCAACATCAACCGTTCCGCGATGCTTGGAGTTCAAGTGTATTGTCAGTCCTCTTCTCGTGGAAAAAGCAGCTCCGCACTCGTTGCACATCTCCGCTTGCTTTCCCTGACTTTCTAATTCTGTCTTTTTCTTCTGCGCCATAAGTTCTCCAGCTCTTCCAGGGGAAAGGTTGTGTACAGTGCGCAAATGAGGACGGACATTATACTTGGTCATCTCTTTATGACAGATCGGACACTCGGAACGCGACGAATCCATTTTCTCAAATATCCTTCAAAG